ACAGGGTGAACCATGAGCCACCCTACCAAGCACCCAACCAAGGTCGCGAGGGACAACACGGGAAGAACTAAGGACTGCTCAAAATGCACTGTTCTCCTGCAGGTGGCTTTAACATGAATGCAGTCCTCTATCACACTGAAGATGTTTGCTTCCTCAGGCCCCCTTGGGGGTTTTTTTGTTGGTTTGTTGTTTTTGGTTTTTTTCCCCCCCTTCCCTTGCCCCCAGCTCAGCATCTAATACTGGGTTTTTTTTCCAATCTCCACATTTCCAGGACATGGCACAGGGTACACCTGTGGTTTTTATTTACTTGAGTAGTTTTTAACACTGATCAAAATAAACACCTCAAAATCTATTCCCTTACAAAAATGTGGCTTTAAGTTCACTAACAACAGGTTGAAAAATAGCTCGTGCCTCATCAGAGAAAATGGACTAGGATCTCTTACTGCAGTACCAGATACCAGAAAGGTTTTGTACACACAACAGAGCTGAGATTACTTTAAAACCAGCTTTATTCTGTTATTAAATTGCCATTCTACACTGAAAACACATTATGTAATAATGTCACCAATGGGCCATCTATTCATTGTGGTCCTTATCTCCTAAACAAACACACTCTTACCACAGGATAGATTCTCTAGCAAAAGTTCTAAAAACTTGAAGATGTATCAGATGATCACCTAGGATTTTTCTACTTGCATTTACCTCACCAGTTGGAAAATCCCGTTACAGGTAGTGACAAGCTGGTCACCTGATCCTAGCATGAGTATTTGGGGCTGCAAGAAATCCTCAACCTGGGTGCCACACTCCGGGCACCGTTGCAGTGCTGGGGCAGAAGCAGGTGCGCAGATCTCCCCCCACTCTCCTCAGATGTGCCCGCTGTCAAGTCTACCAGGATTAAAAGATCTATTTAACACAGATTTAATTCTTGTCACTTTTCAGATCACACCACCCAGACTCTCACTCATCTCCCTCTGTCGTTATAAAAAGAGATTACATTTGGCTAACATGTATGAAAAACGCGATTATTGCTTATCCTTGTAACTGTGCAATATGAATTATCTTCAGTTTGCAATTATTCCTCTTTTCAAACTATTATTCTAAGGAATTTACAGCTCATATATTCTATGGCTTGCAGTAATAGCGTACTTAAAAGACAAACGGTGCAGCTTTAAATAATGCAAATGCTAAGCAAGCCTCATATATTCAAATTCGATTTTTTAAACACTTTCAGGTGGTTGGTAACAGAGAGGAAAGTCCACTTTCTTAGAGCAAACTAAAAACTGGCCAATAAATGACAAATGATGAAATATTAACCTAGAAAATATATCTGATGGGTTTTACTAGCAAATACAGTTTACAATATGAAATGCCACTCAGCATCACAGAGTAATGGCCTGGCACCAATTAAATATTAAGCAACTTAGTAATAGTTAGGAAGACAAATAATTTTGGTTAAAAAAAAAAATCTCTATAAATTATTTTTTTTCTGGAGGCCAGAAGATACATATAGACCAGCCTGCACTGCAGCATTCAATAATTTGATTTCTAAAGGGAAGAGCAAAATCTGCATTACTTTACCCAATCTTATGACTGTTTTATGTCAGATGAAATGAAACACTCACTAAAATCAAAAGACAATTTAGTGAGAGAATCAAGAGAGAAGCTAGAGAGTAAGGATGATAACAACCAAACACACAAATATGTTCAGATTGGTATGAATGGAAAGAAATCAGGAAAACAAGTGGCAAGTGTTTGAGGACAGGAAAGAAGAGACACAGGACTCTACAGCTGGGAGAGAGATTGTGTTTTAAAGTTGAGCAAGCTTTGTTACTCAGGGCTTGAAACCTGACTGTATTTTAGGAATAAACCCATAGGAGTAGGGAATGGAAGGTAGTGAGCCAAGAAATCAGTTTTGACAACTCTATGGTTGATTTGATTTTGCAGTCAAGTCAAGTCACTTAAACGAAAAAGGGTTATCAAAACATAAAACAAGCTCTTAAAAGTTTATTTACTTGTATTAGTAGTTACTATTATTACTCAGTTTCAGATTATTAACCATTTTTGACACTGATATTTTCCACTATCCCATGTTTGGATGAGGAAAACTTGCTAGTCGCTTGAATTCATTACAACGTTTTCAGCCAGATTCTCTAAGTATCATAACAAAACAAGAATGAACGTCTGTACTCGATCATGCTGTTTATTACAGCTCCCTTTTTCCCATACCTCTTACGTACACACAGCCACTCAGTCAAATCCATAAGATCTACAGACACTTGGCAGTGTGTATCTAAGAGCCAGGTGAGAGAAAACATCTGCTATGGTCAACTCAATTTCACAACTGCAACAGTCTTTAACCTCACCTCAAACTAAAATGCTGAATATTTAAGTTTCTAACAAACACTAACAGGAAATAGTTACCTGTTATTTATGCACAGCACACTGCCATAAAAAGAGCCCATTTCTCCTGTCCTCTGATTAAATCCCATTAAAACTGACTATAACCTGTTTGAATTCAACTGTGGGTCTGCAGATTATGCATGCAAACTCTACATATATTCTATATACTTCTGCTTTTTGGCACTTTCACTCATCAAGCAGACAAGTAATAATCACACTTTCCAAATAATTACTAATACTGATTTGGTTGTTCTGCATATTTCTAGGGTCAGTTCATCCAAATGTACTACCAAAGTTATGACTTTTAGTGACAGCACGACAGCCACAAAAAATAACCTATACTCAAGATCAACAGAATTGCTTCCAGTTCTTCAGAAAATAAGTTATCTACTTCTAGAATCCTCTTCAGAAACTCCAAAATAATTTTAGCAAGGCCCTGATGAGATTATTTTATTTTATAAGGTTTTAGACTGTATAATAAAGCTTAACAAACAGCATATTGAACAACAAGCTCAATCGTACAGACACCTGCGGAAGAACTGATCACAGTCACACCACTGCCAATACAGACAATGTGGCTTGATGGGGGACCAGGGGAGGGGATAGAAAAGACATAAAAGGCAGTCATTGGTTACAGAGGCATAGTTACTACTTAATACGCTCTGCTTTCAAGATGAATCTTTAAATTGAATGAATCTAAATAACAGAGGTTTCTAAAGAATAAGAAATTGGGTTTGAAACAGCATTGTGAAGGTATCCAGCAGCACCATAACAAAGTCATTTCTTTAGGGGCCAGTTGTAGCTTCAAAGGAAAGATTTGCCTAGGGCAGAAACTCAGCACAGAATCTGCAACCCTGATTTTTAATTAGGCAAATTCTGAAAGCAAAAATCTTTGCTGTGCCAAAAAGAAGTTTTCTACTTTAAGGTACATGAACTGATAAAATAATTGATCATTCTTGGTTGGTGATAACAGTAGCTAAAATATTTAGATACTAGCCTGTTTTCAATACAGTACCTCTGGTAACACAAGAGCTTTGCAGCCCAGTCGGCAGCACCTCAGAGTCCACAACATTTGCAGGACAAAAGCCACCTTTATAATGAGATTAAACCTCTATTTTCAGAAACCTACAACTCTAACACTAAGATCTTGTATTTCTGTCATCACCAGAACCCTGATTCTTCCCAATTCTGCTTCAAAGTTCTGGACACATTCAGCACGCACCTGGGACACTTAGCAGAGCTGTGCTCAAAGAGATCTAGGAGATTTGATAACACCAAGAACTCCAAAAGCTTCATTCTGATGAAGTATCTTCTCCAGCCGCTGTTCATTATTCTTACATAAGAATAAAGACACCGAAAAAGTCTTTCTTGGTTCATTTCCAACACTTCTGCAGCCTCACACTGTCAGACTTATTCACAAGGTCCATGCCTACTGCATCAATTTAGTGGCTACTAATTTAGTTAGTGCCTACTAAATCCAACAGATAGGTGCTCTTTCCAACCTGTCTCTCTGATACGCATACAGAGTGGAACACAGGCTAAATTCTGTACTTATAACGGAGGAAAAAAGATACAATGAAAATTAAGTCAGAGCTGAGAAAACCTTGTGTGCTATAAAAACAACTATAATATCTAATGTATATAGCCCTCTGAGGACAAGTTATCAACTTATATACATAATTACAATAAAATGGGCAAAGAGAAACAAAAATCAGTTCCCATAGCTAGGTTCAGTCCAACAAGAAAAAGAAACTGAGAAATACAGACCTTAAGAGACCAGCTACAGTTTTTCTGATATATGTTACAAATGCATAAATTCACCATGCATCAGTACGTCATGCACAAACTAGGAACTACATGAGGAACTATCAAAAGGCACAAGGGAATTGGCACTGCAAAAAGGAAATGAGCCTCTTAGAGTCTGCATTAGCCACTGCCACACTGCTGAATAATACATAATCTTAAAAGTATTTGGTAAGGTGATAAATAATCAGCATATCAAAACAATGCATCAATTCTTCTGGTCTCTTAATTAGGCTTGCAAAAAATCCGTATGGTCCTTTACTGTTTACAGAGGGGTATTACCCTGGGATTTTGGAAGGCATTATTTACATGAGTCAAAAATAAGCTTGGCTTTATTGCTGAATCGCTGTCTTGACAGGGGATTTCAATTCCAAATTCACAGGGAAGCAGAACAGTCGTGTGTGTCTCCAGCCCCCATTTCAGGTGACAGTTCAAAAGTAGGAATTTCTATCCTTCTGTATTTCAGGTATCCAACAGATCATTCAACTGAAAACACATCAACTCGTCCTTTACCCCAGTATTATAACCATGACTTCATTTTTGAAAAACAGGCCTCAGACTATTGAATGCCACCAAACATGTACCTTATCCTTTAGCTCAAATATATTTTGTATGACCTTACATGAATTGCTTAGATAAAAGCCTTTTTTCTTCTACTTTTGTTATTTTAAAGTGCAGATGCATTTGAGTCATTTTCCCCTTTTGTTTCATATCCTTAAGATCCACAGCTTCAAAGACAAAATGTCAGCATGCAGTCGATTTATGACTGAATTCTTGAAGAGACACTGAAGAATTACCTTGTCAATCACCCCAAGGACTCTGAAGGCCTTCAGTTCCTCGGCAGGGCTCCTTAGGTTCCAAGAGGGCCTTGAACTTAGTGATCCTGGAGGCTAATGGAAGATATCAAAGATTATACATCAATCAGGGTGGTACTTGAAGGAAGACTGCCTGCTGAAGCAAATGCCAGGTCGAAGGAAACTAAATTTATCATAAATCAGAGAGAGTGAAGATGAAAGGAGAAGTTTCTGTTTGTCCTTATTGAGGGGGAAAAAAAAAAAAACAACAAAAAAAAAAACACACAACTTGCAAGTAAATAAAAATTGAGATAAAATTGAAAACAAAAATTTTAAAAAGAAAAAATAATGCATTTTTATACTTTCTATGCTTAATGGAACCTGGCAATCGATTACTCAGTTCTTACCCCATCACAACAACCAAAGCCTTACAGGTATTCTGGATACAAAATAATTCAGGTACCATGGAGAGGAAAACAAATTAAAGGCTTTTTAAGTCTGAAGAACATGAAATACAGAATTATAAACAGTGTTCTCTGGTAAGCTTTATGAAATCCTTTTAATAACAAAGTGCACAACAGAAAGGATTCCTAAAACTGCCTTAGAAAAAGATAGCTAGCCATGTATCATTAATCTATAAATTAACACCATAGCAAGAGAATTGTCAGGTGCTAATTATTCAAGTAGTTAATACACACAGATTTTTGTACATGCCATGTTTTATAGTTTCTCAGGGCAAACTCAAAGCTTGAACGTCAAAGGAAGGAACAATGTTTCAGCTGGAAGTCTTCTGGGACAAAGATCAACCTCTTAAGCATCACATACACCTCTGGCATGTTAACAAACATTTTCACAAGTTTCTAGTTGCCAACTGAGAGAATTCATTAGATCCTCCTCCAAAAATTCAACATGCAGCTTCTAATAGAACCACAGACCTGGATCTCTTCCTCACAAATAAGGTAACTTCATTTGCAGAGTTGTTGAATGCCACACTCTTTTTAAGCATAACCTGGCCTCCCCAAGTACGCTTCTATTGCACAAAGGTAAAGGAAGAGGAAGGTGGAACTCCTTGATTTTTATGTTTCTCAGAGGCAAAAGTTGTTTATCTAATTTGTCAGTATCCTGAGGCAATATTTAACAAATATGTCACAAAGGAAAACTGCTGGTAAGCAATTATGCTGTGGATTAAATGTTTAAGTATTGGGAAAAAATCAATCAGTTTTCCCTTTCAGCCAGAAACTCCCTGAAAAAATTAAGATCCTGAACTAGGTAATTCCGTTTGCTTTCTTCCTAGTGTTTCCACTCCGACATCTTTACTGCGCTATCCTCAAAGGCCAGAGCACCTTCCCAAAGCCCTCCCCAAAACTGGTTCCCCTTCATGTTGCCAGTCAACCACCTTCTCTCCTTCCAAATTCTTTCCCAAAAATCAACTCATGTATTAGCATTGCCTGTAAAATTAAACAGAAAGGTTCAAAAATACACGTTCAAGAATCAGGGAGAAAAGTATGCTTTTCTTTTGTGTTGACCTACTGGGCTCTACGTTAAAAGCAGTAAAGTAGTTTATTATTTATCTTCATTTATCTATCTGGGTCTTATAATTATTTTGTCATGTAAACACTGCTGAGCAAGAGTACCAACAGCAGTTAAGAGAAAACAGACCAGATTATAAAAATTAGTAAAGGTTTCAGTAGGAAGAAGAAAAAAAAGCTCTCAATTAAGTTTTTTTCCTCCAAAACTAATCTAGGTTCCGCATTCTAGCAAGCTGTTGGAAGGTCAAAGGAGTTCTGTTGGGCTGTATTTTAAGCATGTGCAATTTTTCTGCAATAACAAAATATTTGCTTTGAAACAAAGAGTTGTGCTAACACAGAGTTTATTCATTACAAGATTTCAAAAGCATTCTAAGGAATACATTTAATGAAAAAGAGTATTTCCAATTCCCTAGACTACTATAAAAGACTTCCACTTCTATCTGCATGCTATTACATTTTGTAATCATTCCTCCATAATCAAGCTTTTAAAATTTTCTCTTATGCATAACATTTCAACTATTAATTAAGTTCATATATCTCTACAGACATTAACAGATGTCTAATAATGCTACAGAATCAGACTTCTGCACCCATCATGTCTGAAGAGCCCAGAAAAACAGTACATATTTTTGGGTCCTCCTCTAAAATATCACTAATGGTGGCACAGTCAGTATTATTGTGTAAGCACATTGTTTTCCATATACACATTCTACAGTCACTTCTTACCTTAAAATGAGTAACAATCACATCCACAGCTCCCAGTAGCTTCTCCATTTTTATCAGTTTCAGATTATTTTTTGCTCTTAACAGTACTTTGGCTTCCCTGTTGCAAACTCTAATAGTGGAGCCGAGTGATGAGGAGGCATCACATTCTGTTCTGAAGCAAGCCAGGAGCAAACTCTAAATACCCAATTCCCAGAACTACCACAATTAAGCACTCTATGAAGCAGCCTGCTCCTCTGAACAGAGTAAAAATCCAAACTCAGCATCTAGCCAGCAATAAGAAAAATAACTAAAAAAAAAAAGCTCTGTCATCAAAAATAGGAGAACAAAAAAAAAATACAGGAAGGAGAGTAACAAAACTCAAAGGCTTCGTTTGCCTTTAGAAATAAGGCATTTATATTCTAAAGAAAGTGGCAGGCTACCTCTGCTTGCAGGAGGCCTTCAGCAGCCTGCCCAAATGCTCAGCGTGCCACTGAGGCACCCCAGGACCTTCTCTCCTGTGGCTAGGCCCTATGTTTTGAAATTATTTCCAGACTACACTGAGCTGCAAAGCTGGTGTTATCTGACTTGGGATCTGTATCACCAGCTCCTTTCCCACCATCATCTTTTGGTTAGCATATGCTAATTTTAAGTGGAAGAGGATGATGCTGATCACGATGCTGGCCTCTGCAAAGACTCAGCAGCTTGTGGCCACCACTTGCCTTGAGAAGGCTGCAGTTTTTCAAGCTACACAATGAAATATGGCAATAGCTCTTGCCTCAGCTTTGGCATCACTGCCAGCACTGATGAGAGGACGGGGAGAAAGAGTAGTACACCACCAACCAAGCAAGAGGTAGAGCCCCTCATGTTAAACTCATTTAAGGCAAGAGCACTATCCCTAGCTCAGTGCCACAAACACCATTCGATGGGGAATTACGCTACTGCTGATGCTGCCACCTTTGACAACAAATCACCACAGAAGCTCAGGACAAAAAAAGAGCACTTTCACCAACACCGGTGCAGAACTGCTCATCAAAAATGCGATCTCCCCTCACCATTCAGAGGTCTGAATGGTTGGATGACTTCAGTAACCATCCCCCTGTAGCACGGCCAGACCCTTGACTGCAGCAAGGAGATGTCTTGTTTTGAAGCAGATACTGTTGGCCTGAGGTGCGAGGCTCCACACCATGGGTGTGAAAGAGCTTCCAACTCTCCTGGCCTGGCAGAACATCCTGGGCCCTACCTCACTCTGCACTATAGGAAAACAAGGTTGCAATTCTGCACGCATCTGACACAGACACAACTACAGTGTGCTTCAGAAGGTCCCCTCAGTGATCACCAGTTTGGAACTGCATCTTCCCTGAAGCTGAGACACATCTCGGGTAATGCACTTCTGGAATCAGCAGCAGGCAGGTATGCAGGACATGATCTTGGAAGCCTTGAGACTGAATTTCTTATGTTAAATTTACATCTCACAGAACTACAGCAGTGTATCTTTTTTACACTTCATATAATTTTCATGCATATTTAATGAGAATTTTAGGAAGTAAGATATCCTATGAAAACTGCAAAGACTGAAGACTTTTTCCTATTTGGGCATCAGGCTTGCACTTAATTTTTCACTAAATTGTTCTGAAAATCAGAAGTAACTGACATTTCAAAAGACAACAGCTTTTGCAATGGTGCAGAAAGAAACAATTCTTCATATAAAAAACTGGGCATAAGTAGAACCAGAAATAAAAAATCTACCAAAAAAAATATGAAAAAAATATGCATTATAAAAATACCAACAAAGTTAAAATGGAACAACAGCCTGTATGTGTAGCTGTGTTGGGTCTCAGCTGACAGCTATGTGAGACTACAGCTTTCTGACAGTCAACTTAGTGTGATTCAAAGGCTGTTGCTGCAGCTCCCACTCAGGCTTGGAGGTGGCTCCCCAGAGCTGCTAGTTATAAAGGGGCAGATGAGAAAATACAGCTTTAGAATCTGCAAAACGGCCTGCTGCTGCCCTTACACAGCATTCTTGAGCATTTGTTGTCGAGAAGGCCCTTGAGGCTGCCATGCTGTGCTAAAGGAAAAAGAGAACTACAACATTTGCTGCAGCTTGCTTTTCCAGAAGGTCTGCATACCTGTTTACAACCTCCAAAAGCTGTCTCCACATCTCCCACTCCTATGGGTCACAGCAAGGCTTTTCTTAATGTTTACAAGACTCTGTCAAGTGAGTTCCCAGTTCATGGTCAGTCACAGTTGCATCAGTTCCCTGTGCTGCTTTTCAGCCTTAAGAAAGCTTCTATCTGTCCTTAAGCCTTCTACCCATAACCTTTTTTTAACAGTGCCAAGGGTTCTCCAAACACCTCCTCTTGTGCTTCTCTCGTCATCACTCAGACTTGCCAGCAGCAGGGTGGTTGCTAAGGATGATATCCTTGAAGGCTACACTGTTGGCTTTTTGTTGAGGCAAGAAAAGTAACAAACTACTATTGTTCTTTCTTTGGTTTCCATGGCATCAAAGATAATCTTTGCTTCTCAGTTCTGAAATGAGGCCCTGGAAGCCTTTGCCTCTAGGGAAGTCTGGTCTTCAAAGAGGCAAGGGCCTGGCATTTTGGGCCACAGAATAGCTTGCTTCCTTCCACCCCAAGTCCCCAAGAAAAGCCACCGTGCTTTACCGTCACGTGGTGTTCAGAAGGCAAATGGGTGGCTTGGGGTACATTTAGCAGGCATAGTCTTTTGAGATTGCTGCACATGGCTCAGCACGCAGCTGGCAGCCCAAGCTTTTGGGAGATAAGAGAGGCTGAGGGGTGCAGGACAATAATTGTACCTGCACTTCTGAGCTTACCTCTTCTTCTCTTGCTGGACATTTCTCTGGCCTGGTAGATGAGAAGGAAGTAAAATGTCATGTACAAGCAGGTCAGGTGAGCTTAGTTTTGATGCTGATCACTGTGGTCGTTCCTTGTAAGGGCACAATAGGAAGCACAAAGCTATCTACACCAGACATGGGTAACAAAGCAGTTCTGCCTATTAACATCAGGTCATGAACAAGAAGGCTTTGCCTTAAAAACCGATGCTTGTTTACTAGTCAGACCTCTTCCTCCAAAGCACAGTCTCAGCACTCCCACTGCCCATGAAGTTCATTGCACTGAGCCATGTTTTCCAGAACCAAACCGCACTCTGCCCATTGTAATCTAGGCACAGATACTGCTAGGGTACAGTATTTATCTATCATTATCTTGCAAACCAATTTCAGTTAAATGGTTCAAACTATGCTGGGCTAACAGGTATAACAGCACTTGTCCACACTTCTAGGAAAGGCTTAAGTGTACTAATGCAGTGATTCTTCTCAAAGACTTCAGTGCCCCTCCAACACAGAAGTGATGAGAGACCTCTTTACAGATTCATGTGAGTAAAGAAGGCATTGTACAGTGTTATTTAAATAGTTGCATCTATACACTGTCCAAGCACCAGCATTTGAAGAAGGGATGGGATCAGCATGACCTGCAGCAGCAGGAGATGCTAGTCATACACAGACCAGCCTTGCAGCTAAAGAAACATCAAGCTGGTGTGAAGTGATGGTGCAGAGAGGCATACACATTAACCTCATATACTAGGGACTTAATTTCTTTAGGAGGACGCAAAATACCTGCATGTTTCCATTAGCATCTCCAAAGAATCACACTGTATATAGATGCAAGTCATTTCAGTGCACTTATGTCTGCATGGGGTGGAACAATTCATTCAAACTCCAATATAAACTATTTTGGGCAGTAAAAAGGATAAGCAGTAACCACGGTGCAAGAATTCAGGTCTGCTCTGCAACCACCATGCAGGAAGAGTCACATTCCTCACTTTCCTTCAGACACTAAGCCAAAGCACAGAGCATGCCAATTCTTAGTGACTCCTATCACTACCCTTACAATAACTTGGGGGGATAAAGCCTTCTCCCAATTAACTTTCAGCTACCAACTCAGACACAATCTGTTCCTCACCACAACCATCGTAACCCATCAGCACCATCTGCCCTTGATGCCAGTAAATTCCAAAGTTCTAAGACAAAAGTCCAATCTATGCACTATGAAGAGCAGCAAATAATGGATATTAAAATATACATACAGATTTACATAAAACAAAGCCAAATTGTGGAAAAATGGCCTTTTTTTTTGTAAAAAAAAAAAGAAGCCAAGTGCAACAGTTTGCTTGTGCAAAGTCAGATTTGCCCTAACTTGTCAATTTTCAATTTCAACACAGAAGGAGAATGGTTTTCTATTCTTACCACTTTTTTTTTTCTTGTCTTATCTCAAATTAATCTTGCTTTCCTTTGGATCTGCAAAGAAGGCATGTGCCTTATTCAATACAGCATAAAAGAGGAAATATTTTACCTCTCAAGTTCACATACAAAAATGCAACCTATTTCTTCCTCCTTCCCAACCACAATTAGTTTTTAAAGTTATAAAAAGGCAAAAATAGGTTGTTCGTGGGTTTTTTTCTTGTTCTGCGGTTTCCAAACACACTGAGGTTTTCATTCACTATAGATTCTTCCCCATTTTCAGGGGTGTTTGACCCAAAGAAAGACTACCTAGTAGGAGTTCATATCAGTCCAAAATACTAAATTGTTCAAAGTACAATTCATAGCAGCAGCAAGACTCCAAATCTCACAAAATATATCCCATTTGGAACATCCTCAAAACTGCACTTGTGGGCTCTCAACATAAAAAAAGCTACCCTTCAAATTCAGTGGTTTTGCTTTTTAATTTATTTATTAGGCAGTCGGATTTTATAAGGCTTCCCATTTTTACAGCAGTGGTCTCCTTAAAGCATTTTTTGATCAGTGCAAACTAAGAAGCAATAATCTTCTGCCCCCTTTGTCCTCACTTGATATAAATGTAGAGAGACAGGAAGTTGGTAACTTTTATATTTACTACAATAGGGCAGCCATTGACAATCACACACAGTTTAGTATGACTGCAGTAAAAGTCTAAAGTAAGAACAGATAAGTCTCAAAGGAACTGTTTGGGGAAGGGCAAGGTAGAAATTTATTGAGGGTATCTTGGAACAAGCTTTGTTTGTCTTTTGTACAAGTATAGATAAGGGTGTTTCTGCTTAAGAAGGTGGGAATTACTACAGAAACTCCTCAAAAATCAGGAAAGAGCTGATTACTCAAGCATATCAAAGAGAGACATTTGAAGGGATCAGAAGAAGAACCTTTGCTCAATTAAGTATTCATTTTGTGGGAAATTCCTCTTATCCCCACCCCACCACATCACTTCTGATGCCTCATTATGTGCTAGGCTAAGAAACCAACAGCCCTCTTTCTCCCTCCAGGAACAAGTAATATTCTCATGGAAAAGTCTAAAGAAATGTTATGTTCTAGCATAGCTTTTTGGCTTTACCTTTAAATTCTTTAGCACGATTAAAAATGTTTACATCATCAACTGTAAGCAGAAGGAAAGCATGCAAAAAAACAGGCTAGTATTACATCAAGCACTCTTCATAATGACATGAAATGCAACCAAGAAGAATGAGAAGAGAATGGCAACTTAACAGAAACATAAGATCAAAATACTCCTCAAGCCTCCTGAAAGAGAAATTCTTGACACTTTGTGAATCTCAAGCTCAAATATGCTTTGCTAAAAGACAGGACATTTTAATTATACCAAATTTTGGTTCAGAAAAAAAAAAAAAAAAAAAAAAAAAACAAATTAAAGCCTACCATAGAAGCAGATGCATCTTCAGAGGATTTATGGTAGAGACTGGAAATTTTTTCAGCACGCATAAGGTATTCTGCAGTCTTCCTTTTCACTGCTTCTCGACGAGTTGGACTCGATTCACCTCAATGGAGAAAAAGAAAGTTATTTTTTCTATAAAGAGATACTAAGTAATCAAAGTACATGACTGTTTTGATTTTACCTTTTTGATTTCCTTTGGGTTATTCATAATTAAACCTACAGATATGCATCTTATAAAAAGCAAATACTATGATCTCAGAGTTCTACAAAAATAACATTTTAAGCCTTGCTATAGACTAAGGTAAATAAAAAGTCTTACCTCACTGTTCTATGATCTGGTATATGTTCCTATGGTAACATAAGTAAGAACTCAAACAAACCACTGATCCAAATGTTGTACTCCAAAAAAAAAAAAAATCAATTAGGGAAGACACGGTAAAATGTTTACAACAAAATAATAAAGTAAGTTGTTTTCTTCCTCATGTATCTAAAATGGATTTTGCTAAGTATAAAGGAAAGCCAGAAATGCTATTAATAGCCAGAAGGCAACATGAGGGACACTAAGAACTCTTGCTCACAGCTTTCTGATGCTAGCTGCTCCTTGCTTGTTGGCTTGGGGTAACACAAGAAGAAAGGAAGAAGCGCTTGCACCCACCACTTCACTTGACAGATTGGCTGAACCACCACTGTGTTATGTCTAACCTACCCAAACTCTTGCAAAAGGTGATAATCCCACGATACCACACAAATTCTGTATTCATTCTAAAGCTTACAGTTTATGTTCAGGCATTCACATAATGAGCAGTATATTGTTATAATAAACTCAATTTGTGACAACACCCCCCCAACCAATCAACCGCCAAGCAAAGATAAAAAGACTGGGAGCCACAATTGTTATAACAGAATTGAGATTATTATGCTGAGAAATACTTAGAGACAACTGTCCTAGAAGATGTCTGAACAATAGCAGAGACTACACATGGCCCTGACAATCTCTTCCAGCCCTAACTAAGCCCATCCAAGACTTGCAGAAACTCAGCCTTGGCTGTGACGGGCTTCTGCACCATCAGGTGCAAGCCAGCACCTCTCACAAACCAATGCTCAAACAGGTCAAGGAACTGCAAGGCTATCTGCCTAACAGCTAATCAACATAAAAGACAAGAAAAGGAACAGGAGAGGTAATAAATTAAACACGTAACTACACAAATCCTAGCAAACAGCAGATAAGAGAGACAATAACGAAGACTAGAACTCATAAGACACTGATCAAGGGGCCATGAAAGGAATCTCTGAGTGTAACCTTGAAGAAGTTCAACCAGAAACTTGGTAACAGATAAGAACAAAAAAACAGGATTATTGTGGGTTATCAAGAACAAGTCTCATAAAAAAGAGCAAACTTATTACGGGATATCTGAAGGAGAAATTACTGTATAAATGCTTACATGCAAAACATTGTGGGAGGTTTTCGGGTGGGATTGTGGCAATGTGTAAGATATTGTGAGATGTTTAAGGGTGAAATTAAAGGTGAGGAAAGGGAGGGGGTCAAGGTAGAGTGGGGGCACAAGCATGAGAAAACAGAGGTGGGAATTTCATGGGTTGATTGTGTATAAGCAGGCTGCTGGTCATGATGCTTCTCTGACTGAGCCCTGCACCTGACCACCACTGTCTGTCTAACCTTCTTATGAAACTGTTACCCACTATTTTCTGCATTAGTATGTTCATTCTTCTCTGTGCATAAAATAATCCAGCAAACTTCAAGCCTGGTAAGTAGGCAAGTCAGACAAAATGTCTGAAGGATGGACCATAGATCTTGGGACCAGCTACCAGAGACCTGAACAGCAGGTCTTTCCATGATCAGCAATAGTTCAGAAGAGGTTGGGCTGCTCATGCTGCCTGTGGTTATGTAGATGTCTGTAAAACCAATATCCTTCTGCCTGTGTCAATCTACTTGTGGTCAACCATGTCCATACAGAGTATGTGTGCACAGATGCAAGCCACTCTCAAATTTGCTCTCAGCTTCACTACTGGTAGGACCCAAAGAAGGGGTACGCTGCAGCCATGTCTCTCCCCAGCAGCTAAGGGCAGAAGGAATTGCTCTGATCCTTGAGTCAGACAGACTGGGCTGGCTTTAACACCAGCTCCTTAATAAAGGAGGAGGAGGAGGTTGGTTGTTCAGTTTTCCCAAAACACTTTCTAGATGGCAGAGAACTGTGAAAGGTCTCTTCAGAAAGTTCACGGAGAGTTCCTCTGCTGTAGGCTCTCAGAGCTGTTATTTTCCCCCTGCCCCATACAAGAGAAAATTAATCATTGTTCTTGCTTTAAACAATCCTTAAGACTCAGAGTGTGAAGAAAGCAGAGGTTCTTTTCCACTTTGTTGCCATCATCTACTACTAGTTGTTTTGACCCTGTTACAAAATAAAGACTCCCCCTCCCTTTCCTGTTACGACTACAAACTACCTAAACAAGTAGAGTTTAGGTATCCACCAATACTCCATCAAGAGTAAGAAGAGACTCACAGTCCACTCCAAGCTCCACTCTGAGTGCTCTGTTGTAGATCTTATTATCCACCTCACAGCAGGAGTGAAAAGTGATCGTCATCTCCTTGAACAGACACACAGAGCCCTGCCCTGCAAAAACCTTTGACTATACTTAGTTTGGGAAGAAGCTGGACAGCCAGTGCGCTTTTAGCATGGATATGCACCAATTTCTCAGTAATTTCTCTCATTTTAAAGGCAGAGGGGAATTTGTACCAGGTCCAGCACTAACATCTGCCTTCATGCGGTAGGACTCTCCCAGTGAAATTCCCCTAGATGAGACTGCCAGTCTTATTCCCATTGAAAATAAAAAAAATAACAACACACTACTGTTTGAACTTTGGCTTTATCAGAAGATAATAGACAGACAGTATTTTATAAGTGTATGTTATAATTTCTTAAAACATGACTAACACTCTTGCTTTCATCTCTAATAATCTTATGGCACCATAAAACTTTCCTGTGCTGATCTACTTGTGATCACCCACATTCTCTTAGACACACGAAGTGGCAGTCGCTCAGGGAAAACAAGTCTTCTGCATGGCAACAATAAACACTTCAGCCATTGTTTTCTTCAAGTAGACTAGTAGAAAACTGCTAGGTTAGTGTCTAAGGCTATCATAAAAATCAAGCTTACTGCTTAATTGTTAGCAATGTGTATTTAGTTTGGATGTTTATTGCCTTTTTTCAATGCTTCAGTAATTTTACAGTAATTAACACAAACAAGCTAGGATGTCCCCTTAGAGCTGTCTTTGTTCTCCCTGCTTTCACAAGACATTAATTTCAGTTTTCCTTCTACTTTTCCTTCCTGAGTAATTCATTAAATAATATTTGCAAACTGTTTGCTCAAAATCTTCAGCCATAAAAGAGGGTGTGGATTCACAAAACAACATTTACTCAAATTCTTGCATCTTATTTGTGAATAAGACCATTAACAGTTCAGTCTCTGAATATTTTAACAGGTAGATGATTGAGAATTGGATTTATGGAAGTAGGATTTTGGCATTTTACCCTTTACATTAGTTTAACCAAGAAAATTAAATAACCTACATTCCAATAAAAATTCCCATTTAAACAGCCAATATCTCACAAAAATCTGTAAAGAAATACAGCATATTAATTTAATAAACAAACAAATGTTACTTTAAAAGCCTTAAGCACAGGGAGATGAGTAATAATAAAGACCCCATTAAACTAAAAATAATCTTTAGCATTTATGCCAAATTTCAGGTCGTAGAACTCTTCACTTTGAATAAATCACTAACACACAGTACTAGAACAAATCCTTGTATTTGACAGATGTTAAAGCTGTGAGGCAGACTTTATGCAGAAAGTTTTTTTAAATGCAATATTACGTTTTGCTATGGGATAGTGATTTTAGTTACGCAAAATCTGTACTCTCAAAAGAATCAACTAATTTATTCCTAGTTAAGAACTTTAGATTTAAACACTGTGTGAGCATATTGAGCTCCCTACTTCCATTCTGTGGCTAGCCCACAACAGTCTAAAGAGATATCTCTCTTTAATTACAATTTAAACTTGAAAGGCATTTTGCCTTTAAATGGCAGCAAACAGGAAATGTTTAAACGGTGTCAAAGCCTTTGATGAATCTTTACAACTGCTCATAAAAGATCATCCTGCTTAAAATAATATTGATTTTTCATTTATTTTCCTAGATACTAGAAGATTTACATTTCATCTGATCAAGATCAAAGCTTCTCCCCCCTCCTGATCACTGGGATTAAATCAGCAATGTCATTTTACACATTTAAAAACTACACTGCTAAAGCAAGATATAAAAGTGTAGCAAGGCTGATCATAGAGACCTTAGAATAAAAACCCCTCAAGATTCCCTGTCTCTCTCCCTCTCTCTCCCTCTGCATTTGCTACAGAGCAGCTGTGCCTCACACAGATCCACATGAATGAAAATATTAAGGCGAGAAACCACCCACTTAGTTTATTTTCCATATGACTTTCCTGTAATTATTTTGTAAACTGTTCACACAACAATATATAAAAACATCTGCAAAAACAGGTAATTAATGTGTCAAGCCAAACTAATGCATTTTTTATGGTGTCCATGCTTCGTCAACTGTAATTATAACTCTTTTTAAGCAAATGATGATGTGTTTGTTGCAATGTGCAAGTGCTTATTTTAGATGCTCTGTTTACTATTACTGCAAACAGAATATAAAAACTCTACAGCTACTTTGTTGCACATATAAGCCTTCATCTACAAAAGCAGGCTGCTCCCTCATTTTCCAAAGGCTTTGCCTATTTCAAAGAAATAAAAATATCTTAAAATGAAAATTGGCTTTGGAAAGGCTGACCAGGCCACCCGCTGACCAAAGTAACAGTAGCCAGGACATTAGGACAGCAGCCAATGATTTAAAATTTGTTCTTTAATTTTTATTTCTAAGGACAACTCAGCTACAATATATTTATAAAAACAGACGTTCCTAACAACATTCAAATGATCTTGAGGGTTTGATAGAGGAAAACCACAAATATCAAAATAATTGTGCTATTGAGTTCATCTGTGACTTGCCTGCTTGTTTTCCCCTGGTCC